AGCATTGCTTATAACCTCCCAGGCTGATGTTACACCTTAAATAACTGCTTTACTTATTCATTATCCAGCTGACTAATGAAATGCTGAATAACCCTTGACCTAAGTGAGTCTCTGCAGACCCCATGTGATATCTTTCCATGGTGACAGTGACCCACTGCTAACTCTCACCAGTGACCCAGCCAGTTTTGCTGGCCTCAGAGCAGTTTCCTTTCTTTGCTTCTGACAATGCTGTGTGACACAGCATCAGAAATCTTCCTAAAGTTGATTAAATTTGGCTTTTCCCTACCTGCAAGGCCTGTTACCGTGTCACAGAAGGAAACTAAACTGGTTTGACTTGATTCTTGACAAATACCTCTTATTTGCAACTCCACTTCTTGTTTTCCAAATGCTTACAAACTGTTGATGGGATTTTTGCTTCTAAAACATTCCCAGGGATTGACAGTAAACTGGTTTGTGTGTCATTTTCCAGTTTCTCTTCCCCCTTTTAAAGATAGTCACTGCATTTACTCTTTTCCATGGCTGGTATAACTCACATCTTCCCTGAGCTCTCAGCAGCAATCGCTGATGGTGGTTGCTTTCGTTTCTTCTTTAAATATCCTGAGGTAGGTCTAGGGATAGCCATGAGTAAAATGAGAGCTCTAGGCAGACTGAAACCCAGAAAAGTGACCTGGCACAAACCTACAAGCATATGTAACCAAAGCAAATTTCTGCTAAATGTTCTTACCTAAAACATGTTCACTGGTATTAGTTGTGTTAGCCTCCTGTGTACTAGTTCGCATTATTTTGGTTGGTAGATAAAGTAGATGCTAAGCCCTGTATCACTTTCTAGGCATCAGCTTCATTAACTTTCCCCTTCTGCTGAACAGAGAACAAACTCTTCACTTGGTTTTTGTCTTCCTTACTCCCTATGTGTTTAAAGAATGCTTTCTTGCTATTCTTCATGTTTCTCACTGTTTGCATCTGGTTCTGCTTCTTGGCCTTTCGGGATTTGTGCCTGTATTCTCTTGCCACTCTATTATTCAAGTAATAGTAACCAGACACAGATTCTTCTGTCTCTGTGCTTTCTTCTTCTGTTTCAGTTCAACGAAGGACTTATGGCCATGTTAGCAGGCAATGATTTAGCACTTCATAGTAGACTGAGATTAACCACCCTATTTGCCATGTGTACCCATGACTATAATAATGGACTTCTAAAATTAGAACCTTTGCCTGCACCTTCCTTTTACGCACACGTATTTAACTCAGACCTTTAACGTTAGTGATTTTAACTAGGCATATACATTTTCTTCCTCCACTGCAAAGATGCAACTTTCAATACCTGTACACTTGGGCATCAGTAAGAGATTTTCTGAGGGAGTTACCAGATGTCTATCCTCACTAGTCATCTTCCCAATAAATGTCTGGATGTTTCTGATTATTTTGGAGGAGACCCTTCTTTTGTTAGCAAATGATAATTCGGTATGGATTCTCTGTAGAAAAAGAAAACAAAGTGTAAATATTTCTGACAGCCCTCTGGGATTCACTATGACATTCTTCAGATAGCAAACGGACTCCTATGAATCTCTTGGAATTTTCTCATCCTTCAAAGTAAATTTAGTACTGGTATCCCTTAGTCATAGTGGTAGGCAATAGTGGATGTAATAGCAAAGCAAGTCATGCAAGTGCTTTCGTGCTTCTGTCTTCTTCAGCTTTGCTGGAGGTGATAGAACAACACAGATTTCTGGAAGTTTTCCATGCCGACTGGCTCCTGTTCCCTGTGAATTGAGATCTGCATCTTGGGAGCACACAGTTCTGTTAGCAAGAGGAGTTGGGAACTTTTTTCATGCTTCTTAAAGAGCATGGCATTTGATGCAAAAACTGGCCTGACTCTGCAAGTGCAATGTCTGATTGTCTTATGTTAGCACCAAACAGTTAAAAAAAGGACATTATTTTAAGCTTAGTAGTGTGCTGTAGCACAGAAATAACACCTTCCACCCCATTAGATGGTGGATAGAGGGCCCTACTGCAGATCCCCCTCACTGTCACAAGTGGGAGCAGGTTCAGTGGTGTTGTACTGTCTGGATGGCAGTAGTCCAATTCAGCAAGGACTCCTTCTGTGGTGCTATCACAGTGTTAAGTCTGGAGAGTGGGTGGTTGAGCAGTCAGAAACCAAGACAAAGACAGTCCATCCTCTTACAGAGAAGCTTTATTGGATACATATGCAACTATGCAAAACTTTGCTGTGACACCTTTCCTGTGAGGACAGGGTGAGAGAGCTGGGGTTGTTCAGCCTGAAGAAGAGAAGGCTCCAGGGAGACCTTATTGCAGCCTTTCAGCATTTAAAGGGGGCTTGTAGGAAAGATGGGGACAGACTTTTTAGCAGGGCCTATTGCAATAGGACAAGGGGTAATAATTTTAAACTAAAAGAGGGTAGATTTAGGCAAGATATAAGGAAGAAATTTTTTTACAATGAGGGTGGTGAAACACTGGCACAGGTTGCCCAGAGAGGTGGTAGATGCCCCATCCCTGGAAACATTCAAGGTCAGGTTGGATGGGGCTCTGAGCAACCTGATCTAGTTGAAGATGTCCCTGGTCATTGCAGGAGGGTTGGACTAGATGACCTTTAAAGGTCCCTTCCAACCCAAACCATTCTATGATTCTATGTTATATACATCCTAATAACGAGATATCACCAAACCAGGTGTAGGCATCCTTGGAGCCTTGGCATCCTGGGAATGACATATTTCAGGACATTCAGCTTCTCTTTATTCCAACTTTTTTTCCTAAGTTCTCTGCTCTGATCCTTTTTTATACTTTCTGCAGTTAAGATGGGTAACACCTCTGCTTACTTCTGGGGTTGCCCTTCCACCCTGAGATGTCAAATTCTTTTCCTTACCTCTTTGTGGGTTCTAGTGCTTGTTCTACCTCCCTACTGAAAAGACCAAGCAATTATGAAAAAGATTTTACAAAATAGTTACAGTTTTAGAAATTACTATATTGCTACCTTGAAAAAATATTAGAACACACAGTGCTTTCCACCTTATCAAAGGTTATTGCATCTGTAGGCAATTCCTTTCTGTCCTTTTCTTGAAGCTTATGCATAAAAAGTATGATATGGCAATGGGACCATAATGAGAGTATGTACAAGAAACACATATGCCAGGGTGAATGGAAGTGTAAGGTTTGGATTTTGTGCCAGAATTTCCATTTGGTGTTATTTAAAACTGCAGATCAGGGCTAGACTATGTGACCAGCCCTAGATGAGTGTATAGTCAAACTGTTGTTCCATTATATCCTGACTGTTACGGAGATGCTCCTTTAACAGGCATCTGAGGCCTGTGAAGAGACACACCATGTTAAATGGGGCCATCTCACACAGCCTCACTTCAAGCACCCAACTTCAGAGCTTGGATTAGGAGTCTCAGCTTCTCATAAAGTCAGTGGAGCCATGTTGGTGCACACATGTGCCTTGACTCACCTTATGAAGACCCTGTTGACTGAGACCTTCCTCTGGACCTTCCATGCAAGGGAAGTTGAGTTTCAGTTGCACTTTGGGCTAAAAGTTTGCTCAGCGTGTCATTCTTGCAGGAATTGCTTCCACTACTCGGGGCTGCCCCCCTGCGAAGTCCTTTCTTGCATGCACAAGGCAATTCCACTTTGCCAGAAAGTGGTCAAAAGCTTGGAGTCCTCTGAGATGACTTTTAAACTAACCTGGTCTAAAATCATAAGCATTGAAATGAGGGATGTGAGAAGTAACTCTGAGGAAGCCACAGGAACAAGTAAAATAGGACTGAAGAAAGCCAGGGACAAATTGTGTCTCAGCCCAGGAAGGCTGATGCCTCCACAGCCTGGCAGGTTGGTTATTCTGTACAGACCAGGAAGGCCGGAGCCTGCTCCCTGGTGAGAGGAGGTGGAGCGTCCTCCCCTGAGAGAAGGACAAAGCCATGAATTGAACAGCTGTGTTGCAAGATGGGTCTTTAACCACACCCTGGGCAAACAGGTGTTGAGAGCCTCTCTCTCTCTTTTCCAAAAGGTATCACCTCTGCTGTCTGAATGCTTGATTTCAGCCAGGTCCTTACGAGATCTCCTATCCAGGAGGGCTCATGCTTGAACTTTGCCAGGACACAGCCTACTAGCAAAATCCCAGATCAAGAGTTGAGCTTGAAGTGAGCATCCTTAAACTTTTGCGGTGCGTAGGTTTTGGCTGGGCTGTTTATCATGGTTACCTCGTGTGATGCTATGCAGGATCCACGCTCCTGGTTGGTTCATGTGCCAATGTTGCTGTTGTCCACAAGGCTTTGTTTTCAGTGTAGTTAAACGAAGCCTGTAATGGAGTCTGCCCCCGAGCCCCGGTCACCATCGGTAGGTCCTGCATCTTTATTTTTCCAAGCAAACCTTTGAGTTTTCATCTCATTTGAACCTCCCGGAACAAAATCTCACTTTGAGTTACAGCTAAAGCAAGGTATGGGAGCTGCATATTTCAGCACAGTCCCTTTGGGAATAAAAGCAACAAACACAAAAATTGCCTAAAACCCTCTCATGTGGGTGGCAGCAGCCAGCGTTCACCAAGGAGAGGACATGGCCTTCAAGGAGCAGAGGCAGAGGAGGAGCATGGCAGAGGAGGAGCACAGCAGCGACCATTCACCACATTGTGGTCCCTTTAAATCTTCTTCTCCACTTGGCAGCTCCAATTTTTCAGTGTTGCTATAGCAAATCTCCATGGCAATGACCCTAATCAGGGAAGGGGGGGACGCATGCTCAGAGTGGCTGCTGGAGCCTCGCCTGCTCACTACAGCTGCTCCAAGGGTCTGGCACACAGGCGAAGAGAAAGATCAGGTACTTGGCAAACTGGTCCTTGGGGTGCATCGCAAGCCCGTGGCGTGTCACTGCAGTGATGTGTGCTTTGTGGGTTTGCGTGTGCATGTGGGTCTGTGCTTATCACCTCTCATCCACTCCTTTGTGGGGAGCGTGCTGGGAGCAAACTGCTGATTTTCACTATTTCTCCTCGTTTCAGTCAGGGAAGAAAGCTTGAATTATTGATGAGAATAATGGCGTTGCCGTCTGTCTGGAGCGTGATGCGTGTGGCGATCCCGTTCATCTCGGTGGTCGGCCTGCTGAGCGTGAGGCTTGTCGGAGCCGGCCAGGACTCTGGGAGTGTCATTCCTGCAGAAAGTATGTACCTGCTGTGTGCACTCATGCTCTCCTGCTGCACCGCGTCCTGCTTTGTTTCCTCCACTTAACCCACAGCAGCCACACAGATCTTAAGCTCCAGGGGAACACTGCATTACCTGATTAGCGAGGGAGTACTGATGAATTTGTAACGCATCAGCAAAGCACATGAAAACAGCGCTTATAAAACCAGCAAGCAAGCAAAGGATTAGTAGTTATTTAGGAAAAAATACTAACTGCATACTACAATTTTCAGTGGAGCTTGTTTTAAAGCTCTTCGGTTGTAGGTCTTTTAGATCTGCTTCTCGAGAGTTTCGTTTCCAGATTTGCCACAATACATATGATGTCCTTGCTAGTCTGGATATTGTCAGGAGAAAATTTGTGTTTATTTCTACTAGGGCATTACATTTTGCTTATTTTAGTATTTGGTTGGAACAACAGGGTCAAGTTCAACTTTCTTGTAACTACTATAGATTTGACACAAGGGAAGTTGACCCAAACAGTGTATTTGTAAAACATATATAGATTTCTGAAATCCTGCTGCTATTCTGCAAACCTAAAAAGTAAATAAATATGACAGACTGGCTTGAGCACACCGTGGAGCTCTATATGAGCTTCCTCTGTCATTTTGAGCAAGTCTCCAGTTAAACTTTCTCAGCTCCAAAATGAGGCAATAGTTCAAAGATATTAGGGGATGGAGTCAATGTTCTCAGGGTGTTTTGGTGACAGCAAGTGGGAAGTAGCCACACATTAGAAACTTAAAATATCCTTTGGGAGGAGAAAAAAAAAAAGGCAGGCAATTACATACAAACGAATCTCTAGTTCTTAGTCATGCTTACTTTGTATCACAGCTATCTTTTTACATGACTACCAAAATACTTAATACAAGACCTGACTTAGTTGCTGCATTTTATTCTCCTATAATTCCATTAATAGTTTTCAAATACACCTATGTGTATTTGTCTCTACAGGACTTAAAAGCCGAATTCCCGTCTTTTTCCATTCTCTTTTTACTAGTGCTAAGTTTTGGTCTGTTTTAAAACAGACCTCATCTCTATTTTGTGTGTCTGTTTTCTAGGCATTAATTAACTTAAATGTGCCCTTTGTGGGTCCATGTTAGCAGACACAAGTCAACACATTTTGGGGAAAAAATAAATGGTGATTCCTTGTTCTGCTTGTGTAGTGGAAACTCCCATTTAATCTGTAGAACAAAACTCTTGGCCAGGGTCTCTGACCCCACTCTCATGGTTTTGATATCCTCTGGCCAGGCTACTAATCCCCTAAAGAGCCCTTGAGAAAGATTCCTCGTCTTGTCTTACTCCTGCATGTGAGAGTGAGGAATGAAGGGCAGGTCAGAGTGTTTCTGTGACCAGTATTTCTGCAGAGACATGCTGCTCTGTCCTGAGTAATGGAGGCTGGCAGCATTGCTACGAATGCATAACAGTATTTATGTCTGAGGCCAGGCCAGGAGGAAGACTCTCAGCTGATGATGAATTGTAAATTATTTTGTGCTGCGGCAGAGACAGAGTTTTAAAGCAACAAGGAACTCGGGATGCTCCTAATCATCCACTTGTTGAGAGAACTGCATAGTTGCTAAGTGCTCCAGGTACTTTCCTTTGCCCATCACAGCTCTTCCTGATAGTCACCCTGTGGAACTCCTGCCCTAGGAGACTGTGGATGCTAAAAGTTTGCACGGGATTGCAGAACTGATTGGGTAAATTCAAGGGAAAAAAACTTAGAAAGGGCTGTTAGATACAGCAGCAGTTCTTCTGGTTTAGAGGCTGCCTCAGCATATTCCTGAGGCCTGGGAGGGTGTTCGGGGACACATCCCTCCATACTTGCCCTGTTCTTGTGTGTTCTTGTGCTCTCTAATGGGCATCCATTGTTGGCCATGAAGGTCACAATCTACAGCCAGTGTCCATGGCCATTCCCTGGGATGGGGACATGACTGTACTAATAACCTGCTAGGATGGTCCCTGGCACACTTTTGTCCATGACAGGAGGCCATTTGCCTATCTGGAAAACAGAGTTTACTGTTCCAGAGATGCACTGTCCCATGCCAGCTGCTCTCAAAGCTTGGGAACGGTCTTAGACACATTTAATGTACTATGAGAGATGTAGCTTATGCAAGACAGAACGCTGGGCCAGGTAGACCTCTGATATGATCTAGTACAGACATTCCTGGATCTTTTCCTGCTTGATGTCAGCTCCACTGGCTATTTCTCATCAAGGAGTTGATCTTTGGGGCACTGACCCATTTTGGGGGCAGTGCTACTGCAGCACGTGCCCACATCTTCCCTGTTGCTGGTGCTTAAGTCTATACTGTCAGCCCAGGTAAAATGGTGGCTGTGTGATCCTGGATGACCCAGGGAGAAAAAGGGAGCTCTAGTACATATTCTTGACAGGGATATATGATGTACATGGACCACACTAAGTGTCCTTCTGCAGGGCAGACCAGTGTGGTGCTTGATGCTTTTTTCTGTTCCCAGGTATGTGACATGGGACTGGGAACATGCCTTTAGCAAGAACAATCCTTCATCAACCACACAGCACTACAGCCTCTCTCTCCCGCTTGGTGAGAGAAATGTGTCTTTCCTGCAGCACCATGAGCAGGAGAGGGGCGGCAATGCTCTCGTGCAAGTGTGGGAGGTGCAGGAGTCACAGGAGATAAGCGTGAGAGTGAGTCAGAGTTCTCCTTAGCATTGCAGAGAGACCCTGCCCTGTGTGTGGCACCGATATCTGGCTTGGGATACCATCACCTGCTCTCCACTTGGCATACTTTCTGCCAGCCAGAGAGCCAGGCCCAGCTTTTTATGAATAATGCTAAATAGCAGTGATTAATCATGTCCTTATACTTTATACACAGCACTCTGCATATGCCTGTAAATACATAAAGACTAAATAATATGTAAATACATAAAGACTGTTCAAGTATGGAGTGGTGTTAGTAATGTTTGTGGATTATTTTCTTTAAAGTTCAGTGCAATCCACCAAAAAAATTGAGTAATTTCCCCAACCTCCCATTGCATTTATAGCCCAGATCACCCACTGTGAAAGCTGAAATGTGGAATTTGAAGAACAGAAGCTGGTCGGTCTGTTTTCATTAGCCAAGGTGCATGAAATACAAAGAGTAAACACCATGTGCATGTGAGGGAGAGTAAATTAGACTTCCACAGTGCTTTCAGTTCCAGTTTTTCACCAAGAAGAAGCCAAGAAGCATATTTTAAGCTCTCCTCCCCCACTTCTCCCCAAACACACAAAGACATGCAATCTTTGTGCTGACAGGACCCACTTAAAGAATTAGAGCTGACTCTTGATAATTCTCATTATGTTAATCCACAAACCTGTTAAGTCTCCCTATGAATGATAGTCTGTTCCCAGCTGTCAGCAAGGAATTAATAGCACTCTGCTGTACTTTGCTGTGATGTGACTTAAGCTTTGGTTTCATGATTGCTTTAAATTGATGTAAGCCTACGCTGCCTCTGCCCTTCTCCTTCCCATAACCTGGCCTCCTGTCTTTGCCCTATTTCTTGTGCTGGCCTCAGAACTTGGGTATTCAGGATCTGATCTGGAGAAAAAAAGTCAGCAAACCAGCTGGCATGGTCACTTCTGCTGTGAGCAAGCTAAGGTGTGGGAACACATAGCCGAGAACAGAAAGCAGGGTGGGATTGCTCCTATTGGCAACAGCACATATTTAGATTTGTTTAAAACCTTTGTCAAAACAGACCCTTAGACATCATTACTTTGAGGAAATGTCCACAGGCATCCTACTGAAAATACTGTGAGCACGAAGAGAGATTAAGTCCAGCTAGATAGGCCAGCTTACCAGCCCAGCTCTCTTCTTCTCTGGAAAAGAGACACCGAGGCAGGGAATGATGGAGAGCAGCAAAGTCATAAGTGGGACAAAGATGGTGAATATTTAATAACTGTCTCTTCCAGTGCAAAAATTAGAGGCAGGAAATGAAAGCAGCAGATGTTAACTTCAGAGCAGCGAGGAATGGTATTTTGTTCACACAGTGAATAGCTGAGCTGTGGAACTCATTGCCACAGGATGTTGTCAATTCCAAAAGTTTACACGGATTCAGGAAGAAACAGGGCAACTTAATGTGAGAAAAATGAATGGAGGGCTTATCAGATGTAGAAACACCAGCCAGACTGAGGATATCCTCCAACCTCTTGGTAGGCTAGAACAACATTGCTAGAGGCTTATTCTTATATCTTCCTTAAGTATCTGCTATTGGCTACTGCGAGAGTCTGGCTAGTATAATATATTAAAAGCCTGGCTAGAGTCAGGACTTGGACAGCTCTGCTGGTAAAAATCCAACTGTAGCTATAGGCTTTCCAGGTAGTGGAATATCACCCCTATTTTATTTGGGGAACTGCATTCAAGTTGCTCCGTGCTAGTGCAAGATGCTTGATGAAGAGATCAGCACTGCCCTAGTTCAGTCCCCAAAGTGCTGAACAGATGCATGTTCTGCAGGGCTGCATGGGTGGAAGAGTTTATAGACAGCCACCTCCCCAGCTGCTCATCACCTCCTCCCAGGTACAGCTGTCCTCTCATCTGCCAGTCGTGCTGCTTCAGTGAGTCCTCTCCACGCCGCTGGAGGTCAAAATGATGCGTCCCACCCTGGGATATAGCTGGTTGGAGGAATCACATGCACTCTCCCACTGCCAGTGCTGCAGGGCTGCTAGCTCCCAGCAGGCAGGGGTGCTAACCTGACCCAGAGACAGCTGTGCCTGGACAAGGACCCTCCACCAAGGAGGACAGCCCAGGAAGCAATATTAGAGAGTGAATATCCCATTATGTGGTGGAACTGGCTGCATCCGCACTGTGGCTTTGAAGAGCAGTGCCGTGTTAGGAACTTCACATGTGCTGAGCCTGCACAGGCAGGTGTCCTCTGTGCAACCACCATTTTCCTGCAGAAGCTGCTTTGATGTCAGGGCAGCTGCTTTCACAGGGGTGGCAGAAATAACCACTTGGCATGGTTGTGCCATTCCACTAGTACCTCCCTGTCCACACAGGAGCACTTGGCTGCCATAAATACCAGTGAATGATCCCACACAGCCATGGCCTTCATGAGGGTCTGGGAAGACTTCCTGGGTGGCAAGCAGTGACTGACCATGGAATTCATGGCTCTCCTAAAAGATACCTTCTACACACTCCTGGAGCAGGAGACATTCATTTATGACCCGTAGCTTGTTTTTTCTCCAAGTGATTTTGAGCAGACTTTAGTGACAAGCACTTCAGGGTATGCAGCACTTCACCGAGGTGGAGCCAGGGCAGGGTGCTTTCTGAGAAGACCACAGCAAGGGGAGGGAGCCGGCCATGGCACCAAGTGAACGATGGATTTGCTGACAGCAGACTGAGGATGCAGGTTCTTTCTAAGGGCTCTGCTCCATGGTCTGAAGTGAAAACAATGAAATTGCTGAAGTACTGAAAACAGGAGGGGGTTGAGTATCTTTAAAATGTGCTCAAAAACATCCTGTTCCTACTCCTGTCAGGCCTGGAGAGAATCTTTGTGAGTGATGCTGTTCTTACAGAGGTGGGGACTTTGCATCTCCCTGAAATTAAATTCCTGGCTTGACGTCTGGGTCTCTTGGAGATGTGAGCTGCATGGAAGGGAGATGGAGGAGGATGGGTGGGAGTGAAACACCCCCTGAACAGGTCAAAGCCCCTAAGAGGCTTGCTGGGGACTGAGAAGCACTGGGGCTGCTCCCTTCCATCAGGCCCAGCTCAGAAGTGCGTGTGGGCAGCAGGGTGCCAGCCACGGGGTGCTGCAGCGCTGCATGGCAGCTCTCTGGCCCCGGACAGCTCCCCAGCTATCTCAGCAGCAGCTTTGCACCCTCTTTGCTTTGTCAGAGCAGCACAAGCGGATTTCAGCACTCCCCCCAACATGGGGGCTCTGTCATCAATGTAAAATGTCCTCTCTCCCCATTTCCCCTGCATCTCCTCCAGTGTCTGCCATTTCCTCTTCTGAAAACCCACACTTCATTAACTCTGTGACTGAACGAAAGGGCTTGAGATTAGTGCAGGGTGAATCTAGCAGAGCAGAAATACCCAGGTCCAGAAGTGAGCCATTTTAGTTGTTGTCAAGTCCCTTCCTCTTCCTCTTCCTCTTCTCTGCCTTTTCCCTGCCCTGCCCCTCTGTGCACACACACTGGCACCAGCTGCAGAGCCAGTGGGATGCTTTGCATTCCTGGCAGAGAAAAAATACAGCAGCAGGTGAAAGGAAGCAAATACAGATCTGGCGCTGTCCCTTGCCAAGCTGCTCTGTAAGAGCTCCTGTAAAAACAGACCTGCTTGTCTGATTTCTGAACCACTGCAAACTGCTATTTTCAGTGTATCAGTTGGGAATTAACCATGTCTGAGAAGTTTTGAGGTTTTCCATTTTAAGGGGAGAGGCTGGGGGCTGAAGGCACACAGCACCAGGCAGAATTAAGCCTGGGCTATTTTGAGAAAAGCACGTGCAGCAAAATGCTGTTGTGTTTTTGCTGGTCCTTACGCATTTGCACAAGGATAGATACAGCCCTGTCCACCGGCAGCCCTAACTTTGTACACGGGCAGATGCTGGTGCCTGATAAAATGGGTTTTCTCCTGGCATTGCAAGGTCCGTTGAGTATTCCCTCTCTGTACTGCCACACTCCAAATTTCATGCTGTGACAGTGATGTCTTCTTCTGTACCTATTTCCAGGTCGTCCCTGTGTTGACTGCCATGCGTTTGAGTTCATGCAGAGGGCGTTGCAGGATTTAAAGAAGACGGCGTATAACCTAGACACACGGGTATGTGTTTCTATAGAAATGCTTTTACTTAGCCTTTATCTCCAAGTGGCCAGGTCTGCCTGTCTGTGTACGGCAGAAATGACATCTCTGCTGACTCACTTCCATTTCAGCAAATAGGATTGTACCAAGTACAGATTATTTTTCACAGGCTGGAGAAGTTCATTAAAAATCATCTAGTCAGACTTCTTGCGTAACAGGCTAAGGAATTACCCCAGACAGTCCCCGCATCCAACAGAGAAGGAAAGATGATGTATGAAGGAGAGAAGAACAAGAAAGATTATTTACTCTTTATCTCGCGTTGCTTCCGAGCTGTGGACTGACTGTTCACTGGGCAGGAGCAGAAAGTGAGGAGAGAGCAAGAAGGTGGCAGGCAGGGCTGGCAGAGAGGAAAGGGAAGCACATATATTACGTGCTCATGGATCGATACTCCATGAAAAAGGGGGAAGCACATTTGCTCAGGTAGTTATCACAGCACACAGGGCATTTTGCAACTTCACATGCTGGTCTTGTGCTCCAGAGGTCCCAATGAACAAAAAATGAGGGCGTGTTAAATGCCCTGACTTCAGCAATGCATACATAGGTGGGTTCATAAATATGCACAAACACGGGCTGGGGTAGGACTTACCACAGTGGTTCCCATGCTGTCTGAAGTTTGCAAGAGACGGGCGGTCTCTCACCTCTAATAAAGTCCCCCCATGTATGTCTTGTCCTACCTCTCCTTCCGTAACAGCTCCATTAACACTGGCAACGTGACAGTAAAGCAACTTGTGATGAGTGAAACCAGTTTGCAGCCACATCTCCCAGTTCCTTTAGGTGTTCACTCAGTGCCTTTGACCAGTGCCATCTCTGTTGGTAGGTGAGGAGGGCTCCTTGTTCCTCTAAAGTCATGCTCCGCTCAAATTGTCATGCACAGCAGAGTCAACCAAAGAGATGTAAATCGATTACGTGTCTCAAACTGTAACACAGAAGGGCAATTATGTCGCTTTGCCTTTGGTTTCTTGTGACCTTGGGCAATCATGTAGAGCCCCACCCAATAAGGTTGGAGTGACTTTAGCTTTCTTGAACTATCAATAGCAAACTGATTAGGACAGAACTCTGCAGTACAGGTTACATGGCAAAAGTTTCCCATGCACTAGCGTAATACTAAATAACTGTTAAGTGGTAGGCGGTGAATGGAGAGGCTTTAGCTCCAAGCAGCTGTGCTGGGCTGTTCTGGTGCATAGCGCGGTTTCACCTGTTTGGATTAGGTTCAGCTGAAATGTTTTGTACCTGTGCAGGATGTGGCAAGACCATGTGCAACTGCAGCTGTGTTGCTTCTTATACTGTCACCAGGCTTTACATGGGAAGTTAAAGAAGGTACTAAATTTCTGTCTAAGCTGCACTGGGAAGATTTTTTAAAATGCAGTAGAGGCAGCACAATTCCTTAATCCCACTTACAGAGATATTTGGACATATCTGTGTTGGCTATTCTATTTGGAGGGTGGCGTGAGAATACAACCCATCAGAGAGCAATGCTGTCTTGTAAGAGGTGAGGCAGAGTATTAAGGGAGAAGCTGGTCCCAGAACATTGTAAGATAAGCTTCTGTTTCTGTGAGGACCTGGACAGGCCTGCGATGCCAAGGCACTGATTCAGACAGCTCTCAGTATTACAGAACAAGGAGCATAGGAATGGTGCATCGCCAAAACAAATGTAACCAGTTATCTGGAACATCACCCACCTGTTGACAACTGTGAGAGTTTAATACTGCTAGTAAAGAAAGAGTGTATTACTGCCCATCTTTTCCAGCCTTTGGATTGAGACTCCAAAGGTGTTTCTGGAAGAGATGCTTTAGTTAAATACAAATTACTGAATGATGCAGAGATACCAAAGTGAAATGCAGTGGCCAGGGCCCTACAAATGGCACACTGTGGACTTCTATTCTCTGAAAGGTACAGTCTTCATATCCTTACTTAATCGCTGGTGCTTGGCTCATGCTGATCAACTATAATTTCTCAAGTTTTACCCACAAATAACTTCATTCAACAACTGCTGAGTCTTGAAAGTTGTTGTTACAAGGGCAAGCCCCATGCAGCACTGTTCCTATCAGGGAATTCCTAAGCCAATGCCAACAGGGCTGCAATTAATTTTTGTAATTGATGTTTCTCTTTCATAGTCTTTCAGTTTACAGTTGAGTGCTCCCAGAGCTGCTCTTCCTGCCTGTAAATAGTCATGAGTGATGCCTAGGCAGGGTTTGTGGCAACAGTGACAGCTTGTTGGCATTACAGTGAAATCCAATAAGCCTGTTTGATGTTAAGGTGATTCTATGATTTCTACTGGGGTCCCAAAATGAGATCATTCACGCATCCAGGATTGCACTGTACAAGCGAGGAGCAGTGTTTAATAATGCCTGCCATTGTACTAAGCTGATAAGTGAAAGCAGACAAGGAAAGTGAACAAGTCCTCTTTAATGCAAAGGTGGATGTCAAAAGTTTGAGTTGAAAAGGATAGAGGGCTGTGGAGGGGAGGGAAAAGCAGTTCTGCAACAGCCTCTCCCTGCAAAAACTTGCAGTCTGAGAACAAGAAATGAGTAGTAGAGAGTGGCCAAGCAGCGCAGAGCTTGGTGGAGCAGGGTCCCCAGGTAGAAGTGCCCCGCTACTCCTTTGGAAACTGTGTGTCTTTGTTAGTTAGCCCTTTGCTGTTTCTAATTTGTCAGGAGGCATCATGTCAGAGGAACACCAGCAGGCTGGAAACCTTGTTGTTTCACAGAGCTTTTAGATAATTTGTTAATAAGTGGTTTTCTATCTTTTAAGTTTTTTTCTAGTGCAGATGGTAAACCCATTCATGGTGAATTTAAGCCTGGTAACTTTTTTCCGCCCTCAAGAAACCTTCAAAGTCAGTCTACAAACTAGCTAAGGGACCACAGAGTGAAAACCACAAGATATGCTCAGGAAGAAGTTTCTCGTCAGTCACAATTGCACTTGCTAATGTGATTTGCTTGCACCAACAATTTTATTTTAAGCCCTGCAAGAGACTCAGCTTTTGAAATGATGGTGCCATTTGAGAAAGTCAGCCTTTGTTTCTCAAAGAGTGAGACCCGGACCCACAAAAGATTTGTTATTTGATCACACTTAAATAAATGATACTTAAATATCTTTGAGGATCTGAAGTTAATTCTTTTTTTCCCTGGACACAGAGGAAAAAAACTTGGAAATGCTTTTCCACTAAGACATTCCAAAAACAAGGGCAAGTAATTTTAAATCATGTATATAGAGAATGGTTTTCAAGCTTTTGGTGGAGTTCTGGGGGCATGGCTCCAAATGGAGTTGATAATAAGGCATCTGTCAGTAAATTAACTCAGGTTAAAATAGGAGCCACAAACTCAAGTCTAGAACTGCCTTGAAAGATTATGAGTTTCAGACAACAAGGTTAGACTGACAGCTGGATTGAACTCAGAGTTATTCTAGAGAAACAGCAGTGTAACTGAGAGCACAACTGGCTCCTCAGCGCATGCTATCTGGTGCAATTAAATAATACAGTACTGAAGACATCATCAACAGGAAGCCATCAATCACTGCAAAGGAATTAAGAGCAGTGCAGTTGAAAGTGGAATTTTTCTCAGCTTTTATAAAGGACACTGTAATAACTTTGACAGCCTACTCCCTAGAAGTTAACTGTGAAAATGAAAACATTTAAACTGTAAAAATACTCTCCGTGCATCTCAGATCTGAATATACTTATTTCATCACTTTTTCTGGATGAAAACCAGCACTAATAACTATGATTTTTCACTCAGCAAAGCACCTTGACTGCAGCTGTGCAGAGGGATTAGGTCTAATCAGTTATATACTCTTCTAAAGTGATATATTCAGTTCTTTGATTTCATGTTCTTTTGCAGACAGAAACCCTCCTCATGAGAGCGGAAAAGAGAGGCCTGTGTGATTGCTTTCGTGCAATACACTGAAATGAGCACTGGGATTTGGCCAATGGACATTTATTCATTTTTAAAATGCTGTTCAATAAATTACAGGAAGATAGAGTGCAGGTTGTGCCACACCACAAGGAAAACGATTTTTATCCAAACAGGTACAGCTCAGTTAGATAATCTTTGCTTTGATGTGTTTTATCATTACTGTATGTGAAATTGCGTCTGCTGAAATGTCAACAGAAGAAACAGTGCCAAAGTCTCGCTCATGGGTTTTATATAAGGATAGCATCTTGCTTTTCTGGTATTTCAAGCCAAAAATTGTCCTTGGACTCTCAGGCCAACCCCTCAGCACATGTGAATTGCCATAGATTTGTGAAAGTCAGTGAAGTTAAATTCTTTAATATATTTATGGTAGAATGTGTCCCTAACATGAAAAGGAAGCTACTTTGCAATGATGCATAGCTAAACATTTACAAACAAGCAGTCATGGCTTTATATAGAAATTAATAGTTGTCACTGACTGCTTGGCAGTCCAAGGAAGGTATTTGCTTCCAATTGTATCAATAGTCCAGTGCATAGCACACACAGTAATCTGTATCACAATTTTAATTTCTTCAGAGCCACACAGTAGCTGTGATCTTTTTGGAGAGATTTATTAAGTATCTAATGTGATCAGTAACGTTTGTAATCACATGAATACTGCCTGGCAATTGAACTGATTGCGTCTGCCAAAATCTTCTGGAGAAGTGTCTTTCATTAAGCAAATCACATACTGGATTGAACCACTCAAACTGGCCTCTACAGAGAGTTTTGGCAGAGAGCCTACAAAACGCCTGCGTGCCCAGGAGTCTCTTGCAAACTGTAATTTGAGAAATATTTAAGTTATACCAAAATGGTCCATAGCTGTTGCATGGACTTTATACTCCATAGCGGTGGGTTACAGTGCTGATACTATTAATATTCCTGCTGCAGTCAGTGTGAGACAAGAGAGAACAAAATAATTTAGGCAGTGTAGTAGTAGTAGTAGACGACAAGATTGCACCTTTGAAAAAGAATAGCAAATCCTTTCTCGTTGTTTTCCCTTTGTTTTGGGGAGGAGAGCAGAAAATGGCCCCAATGGAAAGTTCTTGTAGGTAATAGATTTTTCATAGGGCTTAAAATATCATCCCCGAAGTATAATTAATAGTGATTTGTATATCAGCTAAAGCATCTATGTACAGGCTAGAAACTTTTATATAAACAACAGTATGGGAGCAGTATCGACAACAGTGGTTTTCAAAGTCATTTTACCAATTCTTATTAATATGTCTGTCTTCCCATAAGTGGCTGATATTTTGCTGTCAGGCTGCTCTGTATGTTACGATGATAGCTATCTGTGTGTTTCCAAACTGCTTCTCTCCCATTTTATCCCCCACATTAGGCACAGGGAAACAGGGAACTGTGACCCACTGCCAACTTACTATACTCAGTAACACGAAGGAGTGTATTACTATATACTCTGCCAAAGTTGCTTGAAAGACATGTGGTTTTCAGCAAGGAAAAGCTTCCTTGCACCTGCATTTCAAGTAGGAAATTTGCTTTGTCCTTTGTAGTATTCTAGAAAAGCCCTTTATAGGTCATCAGGACCTGGTTTGTATAAAAGAGAAGCAGTATGACACAGCAACACATTGCTTCTAGTAGCATTACATTCTCCTGTAGCACTGGTAACTGATGGGAAGCAATAGAGGTTCTTATCATAGACCGTATTTTATTTTACAGATAAAACAATAGGTTTAACACAACAACTCCTTTGCAAAATACCAACCTTAGGTTACTTTACTCCCACTTAGATTTGAACCAAAGTAATGCACAGATTTTGAGCTGGCTTTTTGCAGGAGATAGAGTTCCAGCACTGAACCTGTGAATTTTCCAGCACAGCTCACCTTTTCAGGGGGCAGCATGTCTATGATTTTGTATTGCTATTGTGCATGCTTATTCTGCTGGTACCTTAAAGAATCTTGCAAAGTCCTGTTAGCAAGCACTGGTTTTTTGACTGTGTTTTTATTTAGAGAAATGATTGCTTACAGCTGAGTTTTGATACATGCAGCTTGTTACAATAAAAAGGTGGAATGAATGACAAGTGGATGTTCTCTGACTCCCAAAGGGATCAGAGTGCAACTGTACGGTTGTGATGGCAGTGATTATTCTGTATGTACTCCTCTTTGTCTATAATACAATACAATAAAAGGGCAAGATGCATTATAGTATTTGCTGTGCTTCGTTACTGATTTGAAAAATGATAGTGCTTATGCATGTATAAATATCTGGTCTTTAATTAGGTAGAAAATCCACAGAGAAAAAATCCTATTTTGAATAAAAAAATAAAGAATTCTTGTATTTGGGCTAAATTTATGAATGTATTCTTATTTGCTGAAGTATAAAATCGAACTCACTCTTATTTGAAATTAGAAGTACTGTAATGATTTTTTTGAGCCTTTTTAAGGACCCCATACTCTGTACTTGGTGGTTGTGATAAAGCTCCTTATAATTGCTGGATGGCATGAAGAAAAAAAATTGAGCTACATAGATTTAATTTATTATTGCTCATGAAGTTAATTTAAATTCAGAACCCCCTTGAGTCTCCACTTACTAGAAGAAATTGTATATTTTACAAAAGGATTTAATTTCAGGAGGCCTTACAGCAGAAAGTCTGTTTTCCCACACAACACTTCCAGCACTGTTTTGCTGTGGAGCCAAGGCAGTTCTCATGACCTTTTGAAACCAAGCTGTGTCTTCTTTTCTTCTGGTGCAGTGCTGCTGCAGGTAGCCCTGGGCACATGGCATTTGTACACGAGGTGGAGTGCAAGTGGTAGGCTGTAAAGACGCACAGACAAATCCTCCTTAGAAGATAAATGGTATAATCATGTTAGCGTGGTGCTATCTCTGGGTAGGAAAGGTGATGGGTAAATCCTGGTAATGATCTCCACATCTCCAGAGCTTCTCATACCTGAGGTAATGCCTTCTTTGGGTGTAATTCTGTGTGTATTCTAAGTTAGTAATTTTGAGCTGAGTCTCAGGACAACTGTCTGAAGACATGTCTCTGGATTTCATTCTGAAAAATGGGAACACAATTCATCTTGCTTGTAATGAGGATTCCTTTTAGGTAATCATAGAATCATAGAATGGTTTGGGTTGGAAGGGACCTTTAGAGGTCATCTAGCCCAGCCCCCCTGCAGTGAGCAGGGACAGCTTTAACCAGATCAGGTTGCTCAGAGCCCCATCCAACCTCACCTGGAATGTTTCCAGGGATGGGGCCTCCACTGCCTCTCTGGGCAACCTGTGCCAGCGCTTCACCACCCTCATTGTAAAAAACTTCTTTCTAATGTCTAGTCTAAATCTATTCTTCTTGAGTTTAAATCCTTTATTCCTTGTCCTGTCACAACAGACCTTGCTAAAAAGATTCTCCCCATCTTTCCTGTAGGCCCCCTTTAAGTACTGGAAGGTTGCAATAAGGTCTCCTCGCAGCCTTCTCTTCTCTAGGCTGAACAATCCCAACTCTCTCAGCCTGGCCTCAAATATCAAACCTAAGTAGTAGTATTGCTAGCTGAATCCGGCTAGTGTATGGGCTGGTGTTCCTTGCCCACATTTTTATGTAGAATGCTCTGAAAGCCCCATGGAATACCGTCTCCAGATGGAAATCTCATATATAGAAATCAGTTGTATCTTTGTACCCTGAACTAGTCTGTAGGTAACTCCTGGGTGATCTGAGCAACCAATTTACATTCCCCATTTTCTAAGGAATAGTTATAAAGTGTGTAGGTAGCTCCCTTAAGAGTAGCCACATGGTTTCTGCACCCTCTCCTTCACCTGCTCCAGGCTGGTACCCAGAGACAAGACCTCCTCTTGCAGCAGTGGGACTTGTGGAGGGGGCTGATGCTGGCGGCTTGTTTGCTCCCAGCAGACAGATCTCACCCTGCTGAGAGAAAGCATTTGCTGTGCTGAAGGAAGCTAACAGGAATTCTAGTTTAGTTCAAAGGTAATTTAAAAGAAGAAGGGCTCTGAGGCTGTTGTGCCTTCCCCAAGGCAGAGAAGCACAAAGGAGGTTTTTTCTTTGGAACTGACACAAGGCAGAAAGTTTGCCTTTGCGTCTCTTGCCAGACAGGAAAGAAGACCCCCTTGCCTACAACAATGTTCTGCTTAGTCCTTCCCTGGACAGGACTCAGTGAGTGAGAGAAAAGGGGAGCAAGTGTGGAAGGAAAAAGAGATACCTGCCTTCTGCAGCCTGGCTGAATTCCTGGTAAATCAGTGCTGCTGACTGAGAAACCAGAGCTGCAGCTTCCTCAGGATTTATATGCTGTGCATGGTAAGCGGAGGCTGCAATCATTTGGAATGAGGGCAGTGCTGCAGACAAAGCCAGCACAGCGGTATTGGGAACAGGATTTGAAATGGGGAGCACAGAGACGTTGTGTGCACTGATGCAAAAGAAGGGATTACTTTCCCCACTCTCATCAAGCATAGCATGTGAATTTTCCAAGCTTTCCAGAACCTGCTTTTGAGAGCTGTGCAATGAAATGCAGATGGAAGAGGTGGTTGTGAACAATCCCTGTGCTTCTCAGCTGGAGCTGTGCAGAACATGGAAAGTCTCAGGGAGGCTTTGTGCTGTGCTTGTTCCCAAAGAAAATACAGAAGAGCGGGAAGCACCTTTTGCAAACTGGTACTTGCCGATTTGAAAATTAAGGGGACACTAATTTGCAGGTGCTTTTACTAGCCAAGGAGAAAGGCAGCACTCACTTAAAGAGTGTTCTTGGCAGAAAAAGTTAAATAGAGGTGGAAAACTAGTATCAGTTGCAAATATATATATATATATGTATGTGTAATATGTATATATGTATAAAATATTTAGCCTCATTTTTGCTCCAGTAAACATCTTGAATAAATAATTTCTGACAGCGATGGATGAAGCAGGATGGGTCTTTCTGCTAAACTTCTGAAAGGACACTGTGATTTTCCAATTTCTGATTCTGGCTCTGCCTTGAACAGGACTTAGGGTTCTGTTCAGAACATGCACTCAGCATCTCTGCAGCTCCACCCAGGCAAAGGAAGGAGAATTTTCCCTCCATACGCTCATGATAATTTTTTGACTGCTGGAGAAGGATCCCACACTAGAAGGGCCTTTGTTCTAACTCAGTGTGGACAAGCTTATGTGCTTATGTCATGTTCTCTATGTACATGGCTAGAAAAGAAGCTGAAGTTATTAACTGGCTTCCCTGAACTCCAGAAGGGGGGAATGAGAAACACAAGGAAGCTGTTAGAAAACCAATTCATCATTCTCATCGTTCCTGAGGAGACTGAAGCACACGGTAAACTTTACCAGAGCCCACTTGCCTCAAAGTTGTCTCACCTGCTCCTTCCCTGGGCTGGGTAGCAAAGGGGAGACAACTGGAACCCTGAAAGATGTAGTTCCAGTTGACCATTGAGCTCAAAGATGATGGAGAGGAAGGTGAAAAACAAAGGAACAGCTGCAACACAGAGCAGCCATCCACAATGGAGCTTTATACAGTGAGGAACCCCAAGTATCCACTTGCTCTGTGTGTGTGTAGACACAGCCCTGCCCCTAGCAGATAAAAAAGAATTAACATTGATTATGTTCATTAACGTCCATTACTAAAGCTTCAGTTCACTACATTCATCATTATGTTTTCCATGCAATAGCTCTTTGCAGAAAAGTCTCCAGTAAATGATGGACCTTTTGTTCAACCTGGCTTGTTTGAATGCATTCTTTGAACTCCATATGTTTCTGTTCATGCTGAAATCATT